CTTTTTGCTTTACTGGAATATTGCTTCTAGTTACATTAAGATTTCAAGGTTTAGATGTACCCACTTTACAAGATTTTTTTTTTGATAACTCAGAACTCTCTGAAGCAGGGCCCTTTGGACCCACCCCCAAGGCACCAAATTGGGAGTACTGTAGCCAACCCCACAACTACAGCACCAGGTTAGTCGACGAAACTAGAAAGCATGGTAGAGAACTCGAACACTGGCCTCGTGTGTGCCAGGCCCAAGCCCCACCATCACTGCTAGCCCGCCGGGGGCACTTTTACAAGATTTTTGTTCATTAAATAGAAATATAAGGTGTTAATAGAGTTGTATAATAAATCATTTTAACTTGTTTGTGAATCATTTCACAGGGAGATGAAGAGGATGAGAAGACTCTGGAAGAAGGCAGAGCATGGAGAATAGAGGCTTCAAGAACTATATTTGTAAAGACAAGAAATAGATAATGCACTCTCTATGTGATTAGTAATGTCTTGAATTGCAAATAAAATGGCCTTTTGTTGGGGATATAAGACCTTAGTTAAGTTTTTTTTGGAACTACAGGAGTTGGTTTTATGTTTCCTAATTGATATTATTCTTTTGTTGTGCATTATATTAATAAAAAATGAATGTCATATATTCTTTTAGTCCAGGGATCATGTGTTTGTGGCTGTGATTATGTAATGTTTAGGTTAGGATGCAATATTTGGTTTCTTTTCTTCTTTTAGCGGTGTAAAAAACATGGTAAAATCTTTTTACAAAAAGTAAAAATGATATTTACCGGGTGTTTAATGGTTATTTACAAGGATTTTTTAATCCAGTAAATAAAGACTATTATTTACCGCATGCAATTTAACCTTGTAAAAAGTATTTAAAAGATTTTTTACACCTTGTAAATATACATTTTTCTTGTAATGATCCTCTCTCTATCCCTACCTCCATTTTGTTTCTGCAACTAGGGTAAAAAACAAAAAAAAAAGTATTTTAAAACTGGGCGATGAATAATCTTTTTAAACGGGGCGAATACCTTTTATTATCCATATTTCCATTCTGCTTCTCGACAACATTGTAAACTGAGGGAATAATTAGTGACCAATATATGAATAATATCCAACACGAGTGTCTAGTACGAATTTCTTTTTGAATAGAGCTTGGGTCCTGCTTTGGAAGGATGGACTTTATCCTCCCACCTAACGTGGTCTAATACAATTTAGGCATTTGTTTAAATTTACATTTTAAAAAAGAAGGTATTCCTATATTTTCACAGGTTAAACCAAAATTACTCAAAGTGTTAAATATGAACAAAATATGAAGGCTAAGGTTTCACTAAATAGTGGAGCAAAGGCGGCATTGGTTGAACAATGGAAAATGAAACTAGGGTTTCGCTTTGAATTTGAACTAAAATATGAAGACAAGGATTTCATTAAATAATGGAGCAATACAAGAAGGCAGTGGCAAACAGTGGAGGATGAAGGCAGCAGTGGGGAGAGGGAGAGGGAGAGGGAGGAAGAAAGTCACGTGAGGTTAGGGGGACGACCGTGATTCTTTTGAAAAAAAAAAAAACACTGAGTTTCGATTTAACCTGTAAGTAGATGGGTAACGCCCATTTTTTTATTTACTTTTAGACAGATGTTTACATTATATACGACCACATCAGCTATGAGAATGAACTTCATCATTCAGGACAAGACCAAGTATTGTATTTTGTTTTTTCCCAGTAAAAATGTTTATTAGAATTTGATCGATATAGTATTATATATTAAGGTATTAAAGACTATTAAATCTGTAGTGTGTGTGTGTGTGTAAAATTTTAATGTATAATAATTGGGCTAGGGTACCTATATAATAAGGTTGGATCAAATCCATTGCATATGAGCAATTAAATTTTAAATAAATTAAATCTCGACTCACATCATTTAGACATTTCAATTAATTTATAGCCTAGCCTCATATATAGGGCTGCAAATGAGTCAAGCTATTTATGAACAGTTCGGGCTCGTTCGTTTAGTAAATGAGCCGAGCCCAAGTCCAATTTCTAAGCTCGTTTAGTAAAAAAAATTTTGATAAGTCGCCAAAGTGTATTGCCGAAGAAAAAAATCTGCTTGCTTCTAATAGGGAGCAAATACAAGAATGATAAATAAAAAAAATGAAATAGGGAGTAAATAATAATTTATTGATTTATGAAAATTCGAGTACAATCTTGAGAGGTATTCTTTACAAAAGAAAAAAAGTATCCTCCAATTCGATCTCCTTTGTTTGTTGGATTCAAGAGCTGTTGGAGCTTAATTTTGAATCGGGTTGTTGACAATCTTCTTCAAGTATTTGTAATTGAGTAAAATCGCTGATGATTTCTGATTGAGGGCTGAAGAAACTTAATCTCGAACAGTATTGTTTAGTGATTTTTCAAACTTGTTGAATCGCAAAAAAAGAACGGTACGATTTTGATATGCTTGCTGTTCTTTGTTGAATTTGAGGAAGAACAGCACGACTTTGGATGTGCTTATTGTTCTTCGTCTTCAGAGAATTTGTTGAAGAATGGCAAGACTTTGATTGTGCTTGTTGTTGTTATTCTTCAAAGTTTAGGCTTGGGTGTTGGGGATGAATGTTGGTAAAGTTTCTGTATTTTATTATGGAATTTTGGACTTCTGAGTCTCTGAATTTCTGCACCCTCTGGATTTCTAAGTTTTTCAATTTATGGACCCTCTCTCTCCTTCATCGATGCCTCTATGAGACTCCTTGGATGAATAGTATGATGACATGTGTCCGTTCTTGATAAAGAGACAATTATAACTGGGTTGGGCGGTTATATTATGATAATTATCCATTAAATTAATTAACTCCAAAGATATTTAATTGAAAATAATTATCTTTTTACTTAATTAACTGGGCTAAACTAATTAAGTAATTTAAGTTGACTAAGTTTGAGTCAAATAAATAATTTAATTAACATGAGACCAATATTTGATAAACCAATTTGTCAAGACAAAAGCCCATGAAATTTTAGTGTCTACAGTATCATCTCTACCGAATAAAAGAAATTCATTCATTCATTTCCATTTTCTCTCCACACCTCTTCCTTCTTACCCACCGAACACAGCACTAGTGACAACGGCGGATGCAGGGGGGCTCTAGTGGACTTGAGCCTCCCAAAAAAGAAAAAGAAAAATTAGTAGTACTAATCCAACCCAGAATATATTAGCCCAACCCAAAATATATTTTAGGGTCAATCCTTGATTAGTGAGCTAATATTTGCGCTCCAAAATAGTCTTCAGCGCTCCAATCATGTAGTTAATTATTTAAATGACAGCAATAACCTTTAACAGTCCCATTTAACATAAATGACTTACCACCTCTCTTTCATCTCCCTCCTCTCTGCCTGTGTTTTGGTCATGGAGGAAACCTCTTTAATGGTTCCACCTTGCAGCAAAGAGGTGGCATCTCCAACCTTTATCTTCGACCCTTTATCATTTTTATTACTCTTAAGTCCTGACTTATGCGAATGACATAGAAACATATTTGTGTGTGTATATATAAATTCTTAATACTCTCTTCCCTACTTCTTCCAAAGATCTTTATTGAAAAAAATAGTATTATTGTCGAAAGTTGAACCTTGCTAACTTAAACAGTCCAACTTGCCATTCTTATTAGGTATGGATCTAGAAATTCATATGTCGAGAGAATTTATATAGAGGGTTTTTTTATAATTTCAGTAGGGACAATTTCAAAATAAGGTTTTTTTATAATTTCAGTGGGGGCAATTTCAAAATTCTATAGGTATAAATGCAAACAAATACAAATTTAAAAATATAAAATGCAATAATAAAAAATTTTAGTGGGGACGGATGTCCCCACTGAGCCCACATTCTTATATGTGAAGATTATTTCGTTTTGTGTCTCTTCCTGCCAATACGTATCTTATCAAAACTAATCTTGCGAAAATAATTAACCAAATTTATCTGATATGAAATAAGCAGAAAAATTATTTCTTTTATTTTAACAAATAAAAGTTCACTCCACCCAACCGAGAAAGTTGTGTGAGAAAAAATATGGAAGCACAGTTTTTAAAATTTGAGTGATCTTGAATAATTTAGACGTTTTTCTGATTTACAGTGAAACTATATCGTTCAAGTTCATAAAGTATTCATCCAACTAAATATGAATTTCTTATCAAAATAGATGGCTGGTTGCAATAATCATTTTATGAACAGATACATTATAATTTGGGAAGAATACCATATACTCCAAATTCCCAAATTATAATGTACAGGCTTTAAGTTTTGAGATGGGTAAAATTGAGTAGGTCTTAGAATAGCTCCAATGTAGTATTTTAAGCGATCCTGGGCCGGATTTGGCAACCCAATCCACTCCAATAGAGTCTCCTAATTCTGGCCACATTTTTGGCAATAAGAAATGGGTCAACCCAAAAATGGCTACCCATATTGCAACCACGGGCTGGCTTCCATTATTTATTTATTTATTTTAAAACAGGCTCAGAGCATTTCAAAAGGGCCCGTTTTTATTTATTTATTTTTTTCTTTTTCTTTTCTCCGCCACATTGAGAATGGAGCCATTAAAATACTATTTGACTGACACAAATACTATTTTAATGATTCTATTGTCTCAAAAAAGGTATTCAAAAACGGGTACATTTGTTCAGAGACCTAAACACTCTACCGACTACCACTGAATAATGACCAAGATGAGTGTCTTTTGCTAATAAGATATTATTTTCCAAACTTTTTTAATTAAGCCTACAAAGTTTAAGTCCCATTAAACAAACAAACTCCCTCTTCAAAAGGGAGGATGAGTCTTCAAGTCTTTGTGATGGCAAATTATGAGCGTGTATGTTTTTCCATTTAAAATAAAAAATTATATATATATAAAATTTTCTCTACAAATAAAAATAAATTAACCTGATGAAATTTGAGAATTCTTGTAATTACATTTACATGTGTTGGATTCTTGTATATATATATATATATTCTTTTTCTTTTGAAATGAAAAAGTGGATCACCAATAATTCAACCAAGGACCATTTCAACAAACATTCCAGGCCAATAATTGAATCAGGACCACTTGCTTTTTCAACCAATACTTTCCCTGCCAACCAAGGGTGGATCTAACTATCGGCGGAAAAAAACAGCAAAGAAAAAGAAAAAAAGGGTTGATCATCCATTAAAAGTAGAAAAAGAATAATTGCATCTCATCAGTGGAAGCTCAAGATCTGCATAGCAAGTGAGTAATTCACTCCTTTGCCATCATCACCGGAGAGGCTTCGAATATAGTAGAATTAAGATCATTGTTCGCAGGAGATGATCGATTGAGGTGTGTAGTGATTCTAGCGAACTAGTGATGAAACTAGGGTTTGTGATCAAGAACCACCATGATTTGCCGACACAAGCGCACCAGCCGAGTGTTTTGATCGGTAGTCGAGTGAGGACGTCGATGAACACATTGCTTGTGTCTGCAAACCCTAGTTCATCACCACACAACTCAATCGATCATCTCTTGCCAACAACAACAACAACAACAACCCTAGTTCATTTCGTGATACAGTCACTTGTAAGGAGTTACATGTTTTCTGTTATTGCTACATGTGAATGTAAAAGCTCAACCTAGCATTTAAGTAAATACCTCTATTTCATCATTGCCCTAGTAAGTAGCCTAAACTTCAAACTTTTATTTTTTATTTGTCAATTACTGTTTGATATTCATCTTTAAGGAGTTACAATTAAAACATCTTAATTAATCTGTTATATATATGGCATCACTTTGAGAAAACTGATTTTCAATTATTTTTGTTGAAGAAGGGGGCAGACAAAAATTAATTTATCCTCTGCCTTTTTTCATTGTTATGACATGTATTCATTTTCATCTTTCATAGTTCTTTTGAAATTGTTTTACTTATTTCAACTAAAATTCATAATAGATCTCTTTGCTATATTTTGAGTGTACGTGTCCACAAGTCCCTACCAACCATACACCACAGATAAACAACATAACTGCTTTCTTGCTTTCTGTTTCAATCCTTTTGAATTCTGACGATTGTCTAAACTTTGCCCTTTTCTTCATCTTTTGTCTCTGATGTCAACTTCTCAGATTTCAGTAATTTACACCAAAAGTAAAAAACCCATCTGGTTCTATGCATGGAGATTGCCTCTGTTACCGAATCTATTAGAGAGGGAAATGTCGATTATGCAAACCGTAATCATGAGGTGCATTTGGAGGTGGAAATCTTAAACAAATTGATATCAATTGGCGTTAAACTGTTTTGTTTTTTTTGGGTTAAAGGGTAAGCTTGTATTTAACAAGGAAGAATATACATGGAGCTGGGGGAAATACAACAAAAACCAATGGCAACCAATGGCAGCCAAATACAGCATATACAAAAAGCAAACAAATGCACACTACTGCAGTAAACCAGAAAACCAGTGGCTGCAAAGTACCATGCATGATTTACAATTGGAATCAACCATCAAGTGCTACTCAAACTTAGTACTAGGTGGACCAAACCTTAAGATACTAGCCAAGAGGGAATACAAGATGTGGAACAAGCCTGCACAAACATTGTATGAAGGTCTTGTTCAGTTGTGATTAGCCTCAGGTCCTCTTCTTTAGTTTGATTGTTGCAAGCCTTGTTCTGATGCAGGTTTTAATTTGAGAGATAATATGGTGAGGTGGAGTAGAGATGTTCCTGAAAGCTCTTCCATTTCTCTCTTGCCATATGAAGTAAATGGCAGCTGATAGAGTAGCTTGTGAGTTATGAATTCTGATGCAGTCCAATGTTTTGAACACCACTGAATCAAGTCCTTCCAACAACTTGGCAAGATGTAGAACCCTGCAATCTCTTGTATGAATCTCCAAATCTGTGAGCTGTAACTACATTTGAAGAACAAGTGGTCCATAGACTCATTCTCAGCAAGACATAAGTAGCATCTATTGACATAATGCTTGTGGAGCATTGGTTTGGAGTCCAAGGTGAAAAGCCTACCCCTAACTGCTAACCAAGCTATGCAGCTGTGTTTTGGTAGGTGGTTGGAGTTGAACCGTTGTTAATTGACAATGCTTACTTTTATCTCACTAGCCATCCCGATCCGATAAGGCAAGAAAGAATATTTTTTAGAAAATGATGTATGGTTCAACAGGACATTAATTCAGGATCTGCTGTATTTCGTTTAGTTATGGACTATGTATAGGTTATAGGTTCATTTCTTGAGAAACACTTTATGATATACTCTAGGAATGTTATGTATCAAATTTCCTTCTTTTTGTGAAATTTTTGTCAGGAAAAGTTATGTATTGGAACCTTTACAATGCTTGGTTATGGATTCTAGCTCATGATCCCTTTCAAAAATAAAATGAAAATAATAATAAATCTGGCAGGTGATGCGTATGTAGCAGGTGATTTTTCCCTTGATTGTTACTCCTTATTTTCTATCTCTGACATAGTCTAATTTGGCCTATGCTATGAGATGTTTCACCATTATTTTTTGAAATCGCGTTCCCTTAATATATATATACTCATTTGGATAAAAGGTATAGCTATGATATCAAGTGTAACGGGTTGGGTGTTTTGCGGTTCAACTAAAAAAACTTAAGCTATTGGTTAGAAAAAACACTCAATTCATATATATCTATTTTCCTTCTCATTCAAATCCTTTTTCTTTTTTTATTACTTTTATATGTGGGACACCTCTAATAGATTAGTAATGAGGAAGATTCTTTTTTCTTACTTTTATATAGAAAAATTGTGGTCTTTAAATTTAGGTTGATATCTTCCAACTGTCTTGATTTTTTTCTTCATTGGCTTGAAGCGCACACACCATCACTCACATATCCAATTCGCTGATTTGAGAATTTCAACCCTAACCATACACTAGACTACAAGACTTAGAACATTCCTAGTATGTTTTTGTTTTGAATTTGGGAGAAAATTGATTTGGATAGTTGAATGGCGGCCTGGCTGGGCTTTACGATAGTCAGGGCTAAGTTTTGATTGCTGTTGTTTTTGTTTGGGCCTAACTTCCTGTTGGGTATCTCTCGCAATTCTTCTTCTTCCATACAGTATATTGCTTTAACTTTGAAAAAAAACACGATTGATAATGAAAAAGGAAAATTTAATACAATATAAATGTGCAGAATATATATATATATTCTGCACATTTATATATATATATATATAATCTCACTAGGGATACCTCATAGTAGCTACTCTATAAGCCCGCTTGTGATTGATGTTGAATAAAAAAACGCTTTTATGCGGTCAAAAAAATTACTGTCGGTAAGTTTGGTGACGCAATATAAAAAGTGCTTTCCATAATTAAATTATTTTTTAATTTATTTGGTAACAGTTTTTTTTAAGAGACTTCTATTACTAATTTTACAATAATATCTTTTAATATGATATTATCATAGTTGATAATAGTAATTTTATTTAAAAAAGGGTATAATTGTCTTTATAAAAAATAAAAAAGACAAAATTGTCTAATAAAAAAGAGTTACCTAAAATATACAATATCTACTCAGAACGCAGTTTTATTCTAATTTTAAAAGTTCTAAATTCTAACTTAACTCAAACGTTTTACTAAACTAAATTTGGTAACCATTAAAAGCGCCTATAATGATTACTAAACACATCTAAACGCAATTTTTCAAAATAAAAATAATTTTAATAAGTAGAGAAGCAATCCCAAATGAGCTCTATACGTAATCAATGAAAATATACTAATTTTTTTTTCTTATATTTCTTTTAATAATCATTCATTTAGCATTTTTTTTTTACACTCCGGATTGAAATCCTCCGCCCCTGTTGCCAAACCGGTCCAAAGTCCATTAAAGTAAGTATTTGTATTAAGATGTAAGAGAATATGAATGAGTAGGGATAGCAATTTGACCCGCCCCACCCCGCCCCGTTTTTGGCGGTTTTGGGGGACCGTTTTGCTTATTTGGGCGGGGATGGTTTGATGTAATTAAAACCCGCACGTGTTTGGCGCGGGGGTGGGGGGAGGTCACCCCGCACCGCCCCGCCTTGTTTAGATAGGCAAACTACTTAAATACCCTTATTTCATTAGTTTATATATTTCCCACTATATATTAAGTACTTTATATAACAATATTAAAGTAACAAATGAATTTGATTAAAATGAAAATTGTAATGGTGAAGAATTGAAGATGAGGGGGAAAAAAAAAAAAAAAAAAAGAGCAAATCTATTTAAACAATAAATAAATTATGGTCTTAAACGGGGCGGGGCGGGGCGGGGCGGGTATCCGCGGGAGTAAAAATGTTAAACGGTTATGGGGATGGGGTGGAAAGTTCCCCCGTTTTTGCGGTTTTGGGCGGGGATGGGGGTGGACTTTTTAAACGGTTATGGGGGCGGGGGAGGGTACACCAGCCCAAACCCGCCCCCGTTGCCATCCCTATGCATGAGGTCCAAGTAGGACAATAGCAAATGCCATAGGCAGGAAGCAAGCCCCGAGGCTCAATACAAGCAAGCTCAAAACAGTAGCATTGAACACAATACTGATAGAGAAATAAGGATTAGCGAAGTAGTCCCTTAAGCTGTGATAAGTATTGTAACATCAACACTTAGTCATAGGCAAGAGAATGAGCATTGGCAAAGCAGTAACCCTCAATGAACAGCTTCTGTAAGTCTTCAACTTTATCAATTTTCCTCAGGTCATTTATTCTTCTAAGGCTGATTGAAGCAAGCCTTTCTCTAATACACTTTTTGATCGATCAAATTAATGATAAAGGGAGTAGAAGATGAAGTGTTTTTGAAAGCTCTATTGTTTCTTTCCATCCGGATGAAGTAAAGTGCAGCAGAGAGTAGCAGCCTATGCAAAAGAAAACCTTTTGATCTCTAGTTAGCTGAGCACCACAAGATCAAATCAGTCCAGTTTGATGGTTAAATGTTGTGAGTGTCACTTATCAGACGCTGATGTGGCACATTGACAAGTCAATATAACCCTAGCTAAATCCTCCGTGGCAAGTTGAAAAGTCAAAAGCCTCAAAAGATCGAGCACTTTAAGCCCTGGCATCGCTCTAGGCCCTCAAGCCTCGAAAAATCAAATCTCGAGCACTCTAAGCCCTGGCATCGCTCCAGGCCCCCAAGCCCCGAAAGATCAAATCTCAAGCACCCTAAGCCCTAGCATCGCTCCAGGCCCCCAAGCCTCGAAAGATCAAATCTCGAGCACCCTAAGCCCTGGCATCGCTCCAGGCCCTCAAGCCTCGAAAGATCAAATCTCGAGCACCCTAAGCCCTAGTATCGCGCCAGGCCCCCAAGCCTCGAAAGATCAAATCTCGACCACCCTAAGCCCTGGCATCGCGTCAGGCCCCCAAGCCTCGAAAGATCAAATCTCAACCACCCTAAGCCCTAGCATCGCGCCAGGCCCCCAAGCCTCGAAAGATCAAATCTTGAGCACTCTAATCCCTGGCATTGCTCCAGGCCCTTAAGCCTCGAAAGATCAAATCTCGAGCACTTTAAGCCCTAGCATCGCCCCAGGCCCAGTAAGCCTCGAGAGGCTGATCTTCGAGCATTCCGAATCTTGGTGTTACGCCAGGCAATACCGTCCCGAGAGATCGGAGCTCCTTAGCACTAGATGAGGTAGGATCTCTGTGTTACAGGAGTCCATATTTGGGAAACTTAGGAGGATCTTGGATTGGTGGATGAGAAGTCAAGAAGTGCCTTCGCTCTTAGTAAGACCCAATTAACAAGATGATGGGATTATACACGTTATGACAGCAAACCTTAAAATCACTGTGTCAGGCTTGACCAACCGACGGCCAAACAACATTTAATGCCCCTGATTAAGGGAGAAGTGACATGGCAACATGGGACAAGGCTCGAGGAAGGGATAAATAGCACTATCCTATGAAGAAAGAAACAACTTTCCCGAACTAAAGAAAAGCTGTCACATTATATATTCACCTCTGGATCTAATTAATTGGTCTTCTTCTCCTCCTCCTACACTAAACATCTCCTCTGTTTTCCTTCGTATTTGTATTACTGATATCTCTTTTTATTACCATTCTATTACTTAGCAAAAAAAGAACCCCTACATTTTAGTGACTTCACTGGGGATATCAGTGCAAGCAGATGGAATCACAGGATATGCCGACTCATCATTCAGAGCCCTCTGTTGGGGGTGGTGGTGGCGTTCCTTTTCAATCCCAGGCACCGTCACATGCTTCCAATGCCCGTGCACCACATGTCACGATGCCGGAAAGTTCAGCAGCCCCCTCTATTCATGAGGAGCTGTTGTAGTCCAACCGTGATCTTAACGACCGCCTTGATAGGTTGGAAGCCTTGATCATGCAGAGTGCACGAGCCAGAACTGCTTCTCCCACTAGAGTGGCCTTTCCTGAGCATGACCAGCCAGGCAGTTCGTCTACTCACGTGCCACCGCTATAGTATCCGCCGACGCAAGCCCAAGCAGCCCCAAAACCTGCTCCAGTTCAACCAGTTCCACCAGCAAACCCCTCTCCAGAATATGTCACTGAATCCATGCTACGTGATTTTTTCATGAAGCATACCCCATCGACTGCACGTGCGTTAGTTTTGCGTCCAGAGCCTCCATACCCAAAAAGCCTGGCTCAGACACCGTACCCACAGGGGCACATCATCCCAAAGTTTCCCAAGTATGATGGCGTCAAAGGGGATGCCGACGAGCACTTGCAAAGATTCGTGGAATCTCTAGGCCAGCATAGCCATGACGACATCTTATGCTTACGAGAATTCTCCAAGTCTCTCACCAAGATTGCGTACAGATGGTTTCGTAGTCTCGAGCTAAACTCGGTCACCACTTGGCAACAACTTTCCCAGAAGTTTCACGACAAGTTTGGTCAAGCCATCGAGAGGGTCACCACTCTCTCTCTCACCAAAGAAATGCAAGAATCTCACGAGGAGACCCTCAAGTTCATTTCTCGTTTCCAGACCCGTGCGAAGGAATGCTTCGAGGGCAGCAGTGAAAGGGATCTAGTTGATATTTGCATACAAGGCATGACTAAGACCTACAGGATACACTTAGTCAATCTGGGTCTCAACAGCTTCAGTGATCTCACCACAGCCATGCAGAACATTTGTAAAGATCTCGCACTTCCCAAGGTAGAAGTCGCTGGACAGGTCACTCGCAAGGACACGCCGGTTACTCCTCGCAATGACAGGGCCAAAAAGCGGCGCGAGACAGATGTTAGGGCCAAAGGATCTCAAACTGAATGAACAAATGAGCCTCCCCCATTCTCGGTATGTATGGAGGAAGTTGCCAGTACTCTCGAAC